CCATGGGTTGTCACAGTATGCGTTTCTGCATTTGCATATATGCAGAAACGCATAAAATGAGAAACAGTGTAACGAAGAAGCAGCTGCGGTGCTACAGTTCTCATATGTTTGTTTCGAGGACGTATTTCAGTAAATTGTTTCTTGAATTCCATCTGTTCTTTCTTGCTCATGGCGATTTGATGTAGCCGTTTAGAGACTAATAAATGAGGAATGTTGTTTCGTCTCCTCTCTTTCTGATTGACGGTTTATCTGGAATTTACATTTAGTAAAATGGGAACAAATAAAAAATTGAATTATACTGCCCGTAACTTTACCCATGGGTTAGTACATCTGTGATATTCACTCAGCCCAGTAGTGGATCCCTTTCTTCTGTCTGTATGGGGTGCTGGGAGGATTTCGGGCATTCGGCTTTTCGTAGCAAGCGGTGATGGCTAATGTTTAAGTACCACGGTATGTTTAAAGCGTTTTGGTTAGTGATGCGATGTTGTTTTTAGGTACTGGTCGTTGGTAATCCAGCGAACACGAACGCACTGATCTGTGCGAAGTTTGCGGAATCGAAAATACCGTCCAAAAATTTCACCGCCATGACTCGTCTGGATCATAATCGTGCGCTGGCACAGATTGCAATGAAGTGCGGTGTCGGGGTATGTCTGAACTCAGTTTTTACCACGATATGCCTTTCGCCAAACTGTGATACTCGAGAGATTGGCCTGTGTTCGAGTGCCCAAATTGTCCAGTGATATGGTTTCAGATAAGCGACGTGAAGAATGTGATTATTTGGGGTAACCACTCAAGCACTCAGTTTCCGGACGTTGCACATGCTAAGGTGAAAAAGGGTGGCCAGGTACTTGACGCCTACCAAGCAGTCAATGATAAGGAGTGGATTCAAGGACCATTCATCAGCGTAAGCAACATTTCTGTCTCCTAAAGCCAACTGTTTCGTTTGTCTGCCCAGCACTGTTTGTTCTTGGATTTGGCGGTGTAGTCCGACTGCTGACTGGGAAGCTCTGCTTCGCACTATGCTAAAATCGAGCATGTTCCATTCGTAGCAGAGATGACTGTACCGACCACACAATTTCTTGGAAGGGGATCACTGTGGTGGCAGAATTTAGCATATGTGGCTGTAGTAATACTGACTTACTGAGTTGAAATTACTGAAGTAGTGAACTTCGAGGAACCGCAGTCAATTTGCCCGAAATATCCTTCGAAAAAGGGAGCCACTGACAGTGTTGCCGTGCTTTCGAGTTTCTCTGCATCCTTGAAGAGTGCGTGTTTTGGCTTATTGATTTCTCTAATCTTCAGAACAAACAGCGCTTCTGAACAGAAACCAGTTAAGTAGTTAATTCAGTGAACTTGTAGTGCGTACAAAAGCGTGGTGCAGTAATCATCGAAAAGCGGAAGTTGTCATCGGCAATGTCTGCAGCAAAGGCAGCTTGTGACCATGTGCGTGACTGGCACAAAGGAACCAAACCGGTCAGTTCGTTTGATATTTTTGTTCGTTGAATATCGTACACTTAACTGACAATTTCTGCATCGATATGGTGAATTGTATAGCAGGGAGCACCCTCTG